GGGGAAGAACAAGAAAAGGATTTAGGCAAGACAAAAAAAGAGGAGCAGGAAAGAGAAACCAAATGAAGGCAACACCATAAAAATGTCACAGCAGATAAAACTTGTGATGAGAGACAGGACTTGCTGTGTATGTGCTGGGTATGTGTTCAACTATCCAAAATAACGCTCTTTTCTAAAGTGACTGTACCAATTTATACACTTGCCACCAGCAAGGATATAAGATATCCTGTTGGTCTACATCTTCCCCAACACAGTGTTGTGAAACCATTTAGGCTATATCTATCAGATGGACGACGGAGTCTGGGGCACGTGCACCAAGAGACATTATAAAATTGTTCACTGAAGCACCATTTTGTAGTAGCAAAAATCTGCAAACAACCCACACGTTCATCAAGAAGTGGAAGAACAACCACTTCATTTCCACTAAGACGATTATCATACAACAAATTTATAATAACAAGTGTTGGTGAGAGTTATGGATTGAATTGTGTCCCCCAAAAATATGTGTTGTAAATTCTACTATACCTGTGGTTATAATCCCATTTGCGAATAGGATTTTGTTATCTTAATGAGGCAGAATTAGCGTAGGGTATGTCACAGTCAATCTCATCTGAGATATGAAAGAGCAGATTAAGTAAGCAGCAAGAAGCACAGATGGGGGAAGACAGATGCCACACCACATGAGATCTCCAAGGAACCAAGAAACAGAAGCTGAAAAGAAACAAGGACCTTTCCCTGGAGCCAACAGAGAGAAAAAGCCTTCCCCTAGAGCTGGCGCCCCTGAATTTGGATTTGTAGCCTCCTAAACTGTGAGAAAATAAATTTCTGTTTGTTAAAGCTACCCACTTGTGGTATTTCTGTTATAGCTGCACTAGATAACTAAGACTGAGGATGTGAGAAATTGGAACCCTTGTCTGTTGCTGGAAACCCTGGTGGCATAGTGGTTAAGAGCTACAGATGCTAATCAAAAGGTCAACAGTTCAAATCCACCAGGCCCTCCTTGGAAACCCTATGGGGCAGTTCTACTCTGTTCTATAGGGCCACTATGAGTCGGAATTGACTCGACCGCAGTGGGTTTGGTTTGGCGTCTGTCGTCGGTGGGAAAGTAAAATGGTATAGTCACTGTGGAATACAGTTTGGAGATTCCACCGAAAAGTTAAACATAGAATTACTATATGACTCAGCAATCCAATCCTAGGTATACACCGAAAAGAACTGAAAGCAGGGACTCACACAGATACTTGTCCACTAACGTTCATGGTAGCATTATTCACAATAGCCAAAAGCTGGAAATAACACAAGTGCCCATCAACAGATGAATGGATGAACAAAATATGGTATATGCATATAATGGAATATTCAGCCACAAAGAGAAATGAAGTTCTGATACACACTACAACATGAATGAACCTTGAAAACATTATGTTAAGTGAAAGAAGCCGTATGTAGTAAGATCTTATTTAGACGAAATGTCAAAAACAGGCAAATGTATAGACAAAAAAAAGCAGATTTGTGGTTGTCTAGGGCTTAGGGGTTGGGAATGGAAGGAGACTGCTAATGGGTACAAGGTTTCTTTTTTGAAGTGATGAAAATGTTCTAAAAAGATTATGGTGATGGTAACAATTCTGTAAATATAATTTTTTAAAAAACATTGAATTGTTTTTAATTTTAATTTAAAATTGTTTTAAATTTTAATTTAATTTTAGTAATTGTTTTAATTATATCTCAATACCAAACCCACTGTAACTCAGTCAATTCTGACTCACAGCAACCCTATAGGACAGAATAGAACTGCCCCATAGGGTTTCCAAGACTGTAAATCTTTACTGAAGAAGACTGCCATATCTTTCTCCCGCAGACTGGCTGATAGGTTCGAACTGCTAACCTTTTGGTTAGTAGCCAAGAGCTTTAACCACTGTGCTACCAAGGCTCCTTTGTATCTTAATAAAGCTGTTAAAATAAACTAACTAAACTAAAGAGGACCATGTATGAACTAACAATGCTAGTATGCCATAAAACAAGAATTATAATTAATTCTTTATTTACAACTGAGTTTCTTTTTAAAAAAATTCTCCACAGATTAAAAACACTTAACAAAGCAATCACTCTTTTTGAAGTAAAATCACAAAGTAGAAATTCAAGCGCTTAGGGAAAAGATGGCAAGACAACTGGAGTTGAGATGTAGGCTAGCAGAGCTCAGGAAATAAGTATAAAAAAAATCACAGAAAAGAAGACAAAACTGGAAAAAAAAAGCACAAGGAAAACAGACAATGCTAAAAACACAGTAAGGGTCACAGAAGATTGTAACAAGAAAATGGAACAAAATGAAATATAATTAAACAGTTAAAAAAGGATTAGAGAACGATTGCAAAGGGAGCAAAGCAAAGGTAATCAGGGCTTCCAACTAGTTTGTTCAGGCTGAACCCCTGCTGAGAATTTGCATTTCTAACAAGTTCCCAGGAGATGCTAATGCTGCTGGTTAGGGACCAATGTTGAGAACCACTAGTAGAGCAATGGTTCTCAAACTTCATTATACATAAGAATCACCTGGGGATCTTGTGAAACTGTAGATTCTGATTCAGTGTATCTGGGGTGGAAATGCAAATTCTCAGCAGAGGTTAGAACCAGAATGAACTGGTTCAAAGTCCTAAAGGTAATCCAGAACACATATAACTGAAGACCTCAAAAGAAAAAATTAAAAATAATGAAAACAACAAATATTTAAAGTAATAACTCAAGAAAAATTTCCTGAAATATAAGATCAAGTCACTAAAAAAATTAGGTTGGCTTCAGATCTCTCCACAGCCCCATTTACCCTAGAAAACTGTGGAACTATACATTAAAAATCCTCAAGGAAACAAAGTAAGATCTAAGGATTTTATACCAAATCAAACTGTTGTTGAAATAAATAGGCAAAAAAATCTCTAGAAGATGCAAGACCTCTATCTCTAGAAGACACTTTTCACTTATCATATGTTTACTTGATTTGACTTTTAAAACACTTTTATAAATGTTATGTTAATTAATTCAACAACTATTTCTTGAGCACCTACACTGTTATAAACTTGCTTTCATAAGCCAGACACTCTCAACTCTGGGTGAGACTATGGTAAGGATCTTAAAAGGGATATAAAAAACCTCCCAAAAAACCAAACCTGTTGCCATCAAGTCAATTCCAACTCAGAGTAACCCTATAGGACAGAGTAGAATTGCCCCATAAGGTTTCCGAGGAGTGGCTGATGGATTCAAACTGCTGACTTTTTGCTTAGCAGTCAAGCTCTTAACCACTATGCCACCAGGACAGGGCTCCATAAGGGTTACAGCAACTAAAAATATATATAAAATAAACTCTAATTAAATACACAAAGTAATTTCACTTGTATTATATGATCTTAAACCAAACTTCAGTGAAATCAATGTCTCCTAAACATGATCCTTCCTGAAGTCTCCTCAGACCTCATCTGGTCTTGCCCCATGCTCTTTTTATTGATCACATCTTCCCCCAGGGCTGTAATCAAACATCTTATCTAGGCAGATGATTACAAACTCTAGCCTGAGCCTCAATGTCTTCTCCTGAACTCCTGCCAGATATTAACCTTGATGAGTCTATAACCAAATTCATCATTTCCTCCTTCTTGGTCCACCTCCACCACCAAAGCTAGCTCTTCTTCATGCCTTACCTATGTTGTCAGTGGCTCCAAACCTCAAAATTATATTTGCTAACCTTTGTTCCCTTGTCCACAATTAGTGTTCCTCCATATACTTTTCAAATCTAATCCTTCTCTTCCATGTCTTTTGCCAACACTTTATTTCTGGCCCTCATCACCTCTAATCTAGACCTCCTAACTGAGCATCCTGCATTTGATACTACTTTTATTTATTGAAAAGTATAATTATACAGACTATAGCAACAAGGGAAATGTGACATATTAAGTGAACAGAACTCCAAAGTAACTAAATGCAATGTATACTGCAATGTCAACGAAGTAAAAATGTATATATGAGGGAACAAGGATCAAATGCAAACATGAACACTGTTCAGTTGTTAGTAACAGGATCAGGGGTGCTGTATTACCCATGTTGATGAAAGTTCCTGACATACTCATAGCCTCTCCAGGGGCAAAACTGCCTGCCTAGGGCAACTCTACGCAGCCATGTTTGGTAACATATCACCCTTCTTTCTCCGCAACCCACTCCTGCCCCAAGCATAGCTTATTAGGCTAGGAATGGACCCCTGATCTGAACAGAGGTGTCCAATAGCCTATGACGTAGCCTGGCATGAAAAACTGCCCTAGACATTTGCTCTCAGGAATTTGAATTAGAAAACGCGGACAGAATAGGGCAATTAGTAGTCAACACTACAACAGAAAGTATGTAGAGAGAAAGGCCACACAGTGTGAGATATGGACAATCAGAGGCCATCAGCAAGCTGAGGTTAGGAGCATGTCAATCCAAAGGGTAAGGAGAAACTGTAAGTTAGAGAAAATAAAGAGGTTTCCAGCTGGTGGCAGAAACAGAGAAGCAGATACAAAGAGATTCACCAAGTCATGTTATTGACATAGTGTGGGTATGAAGAACTTGGCTTTGCCATTTACCAGCTGTGTGACCTTGGGAAAGTCCCTTACATCTCTGTGCCTTTATCTGCTCATTTGTGTAAAGGGGAGTCCCTAGCTTATCGGGTTGTAGTGAGGTCTGCATGAGTTAATACAGGTAATAGTGTCTGGCACACAGAAAGCACTTGATAAATGTTATTATTATAGTCATAATCATTATCCACAACTTCCTGCTGCTAAAACTTCCCTGGACCAAAATGTTTCCTATAGCGCCTGTACCTGTTCCAGTTATAGTAAGGTTCTAATCCTTGGACTTCCATGATAATGTATTTCTTTTATTGCCCTAAGTATCCTTCAATAAAATGCCTCATTTGAATTAGCCTGAGTGAGTCTCTGTTCCTTGCAACCCGGATAGTGTAAAATAGTATAGGTAGATTTTTTTAAAGCCTCTAATGTTATATTTCTTCAAATATGAAAACATTTAAAATATAAATGGATTTCATTAAAAAAAAAAAAAAAACTATTCACAAACACAGACTTTATTAGCTTACTAGTAGGGAGAAATTTTACCATTACTAGAAATACATAGAACTTTGCCTCCAGGTGGCCTATTCAAGAAAATCATGAAAAAAATCAGTGAACCAGAATACCCATGAAAACAATTCTTGATGTCCTCAGTCTAAAAACCTTGCTCAAAACTTTCTCCTTTCTGAAACTTCTCCTTCTGACTATCATTTCATTTACTTTCCCCTTCCTGATCAGTTATGCACACAATTCTGATCATATATTTTCTGTATCTGTTCTTAAGTTGGGTTATCTTTCTTTTTTTGTTACTTTCTTCAAGTGCTTGTCCCATCTCATCTATTAGAGTATGGACTCCAGAGATCAGGGACTAGTTCTTCCATTTCTTTTATGACGGCAGTGGTGTGTAATGGAACAAAGAGGAGATGACGAGAGACGATAATGCTACAGAGTCCACTCCCAGCTCTCTCACTTCCTCACTATATATGTGATAAAATGTCTCAGTCTCCATGGCATTTTCTATAAAAAGGAGATGATCTCTATCTGATTTCAAAGTCCATGTGATTTTTCACTATGCATCTCTGACTCTCATGGATGGCATTCATGAAGTTTTCTAGTTCTATCCTCAGGCACATGCAGTACAGCTCATATTCAAAACTAAAATTACTACACAGAGAGTGATCCAATAATAACTGCTAATGTCAAATGGCTGAGGCCACCTGATCTGTATTTGTGGATGGCATTTACCTTCTGACAGTTCATCTTTAAAGCAGTGGTTAGAATTTGCTTCTAAGTAATGGTTATTTCATCACTTATCATAAATGATCATAGTTTACCCCCACCCTGCAGACAAGAAAGTTCATTAGTCTAAAGTGAACTTGTCACCACTCATGGGCACACTCTGAGCTTTTACCTGGCCACAGAAGAATGTTTACAGTTCTGACACGCATATGATATAAGGCAAAAATCTCATCTGGTTGCACTTGTGGATATCAGCTCAAACTCCTTTCTCTCCTCCACTCCCTTAATAATTTATGACAAAATGAGTAGCATAAATTAAATAAAAACCCTTATAGGTCGCATTATTACTCTCTTTTGCAGAATCATACAAATTTAATAGTAACAACCATAATGGTAATAATTTCCTTTCTATAAATGACCCAAGTAAAATATTCAGGATCCTAACTAGTACATCTGAAAAACAAACTAGAATGCTAAACATATTACAGAACCAAATTCACTTACTTGACATTTCTGACGCAACTGTCGTAGTTCTTTTATAACTGGGGCTAGAGCTGACTTCTTCTCAGATACCAGTGAATTTAGCTTTTTTACCTGGCATTTAAACAAAAAAACAATGCCTAAAAAAAAATTCAAAATAACAAAAATACTACATACTTACAAGTACTTATTGCAGTGTTATATATGAGTAAAGAAACTATAAATTACATGCCAAACAGCTGTGAAGTGATTTAGTAAATCTTGGTTCCTCAATAAGATGGAGTATCATTTAGCCATTCAAAATGGCAATTATCAACCCAAGTGTCCGTCACCAGATGAACGGATACACAAAATGTGGTCTATACATACAATGGCATACTGTTTTTGTTAGGTGCCATCAAGTCAACTACAACTCACAGCAACCCTGTGTACAACAGAATGAAACTCTGCCTAGTCCTGTGCCATCCTCACAATTGTTATGTTTGAGCCCACCGTTGCAGCCACTGTGTCAATCCATTTCGTTGAGGGTCTTCTTCTTTTTCATTGACCATCTACTTTACAAAGCATGATGTCCTTCTCCAGGTACTGGTCCCTCCTGATAACATGTCCAAAGTACATGAGATGAAGTCTTACCATCCTCGCTTCCAAGTAGCACTCTGGCAGTACTTCTTCCAAGACAGACTTATTCATTCTTCTGGCAGTCCATGGTATATTCAATACTCTTCACCAACAACATAATTCAAAGGCATCAATTCTTCTTTGGTCTTCCTTATTCACTGTCCAGCTTTTGAATGCATATGAGGCAACTGAAAATGCCATGACTTTGGTCAGGTACACCTTAGTCCTCAAAGCGACATCTTTGCTTTTCGACACTTTAAAGAGGCCTTTTGCAGCAGATTTGCCCGATGCAATACGTCGTTTTGATTTCTTGACTGCTGCTTCCATGGGTGTTGATTGTGGATCCAAGTGAAATAAAATCCTTGACAACTTCAATATTTTCTCCATTTATCGTGATGTTGTTTATTGGTCCAGTTGTAAGGACTTTTGTTTTCTTTTCCTTTTTTTAAATTGTGTTTTAGATTAAAGTTTATAGTGCAAACTAGTTTTTCATTCACAAAATTTAAACACAAATTGTTTTGTGACATTAGTGGTAACCCCTGCAATGTGTCAGCACTCTTCCCGTTTCCCTTTCCATCCTGGATTCTCAGTGTCCATTCATCCAGTTTTCCTGTCACTTCCTGTCTTCTGGTCTTTGCTTTTAGGCAGGTGTTGTCCATTTGGTCTTGTATACTTGATTAAACTAAGAAGCACGTTCCTCACACGTGGTATTGTTTTATAGGCCTGTCTAACCTTCGGATGAAAAATGAACTTTGAGAGTGGCTTCAGTTCTGAGTTAGCAGATGTACAGGGGGCATAGATTTGAGGGTTCCTTCAGTCACCGTCAGACAAGGAAGTCTGGTCTTTTTTTATGAATATGAATTTTGTTCTGCATTTTTCTCCCCCTCTGCCTGGTACCCTCTATTGTGATCCCTGTCACAGCAGCTGGTGGTGGTAGCTGGGCACCATCTAGTTCTTCTGGGCTCAGGTTGGTGGAGGTTGTGGTTCATGTGGTCCATTAGTCCTTTGGACTAATATTTTCCTTGTGTCTTTGGTTTTCTCCATTTTCTTTTGCTCCGAACATGCTGGGACCAAACGATGTATCTTAGATGGCTGCTCGCAAGCCTTTAAGACCCCAGATGCTGCTCAACACAGTAGGATGTAAAATATTTTCTATATGAACTGTGTTATGTCAGTTGACCTAGATGTCCCCGAAACCATGGTCCCTAGCCCTCAGCCACAGCAACTCAGTCCCTCAAGATGTCTGGATGTGTCTAGGAAACTCCTATGACTTTGCCTTGGTTAAGTTGTGCTGACTTCCTGTATATTGTGTGTTGTCTTTCCTTGCACCAAAGTTAACACCTGTCTAGTATCTAGTTATTGATTTCCCCTCCCCTGCCTCATAAACATCAAAGATTTTTTTTTTCTATGTGTAAACGTTTTCTTGTGTTTTTTATAATAGTGGTCTCATGCAATATTTGTCGTTTTGTGATTGACTTAAATTTCACTCAGCAAAATGCCCTGCAGATTCATCCATGTTGTGAGATGTTTTGCAGATTCGTCATTGTTCTTTATCACTGTGTAATATTCCACTGTGTGTATATACCATAATTTGTTTATCCATTCATCTGTTGATGGGCACTTAGGTTGTTTCCACATTTTTGCTATTGTGAATAATGCTGCAGTGAACATGGGTGTGTATATGTCTATTCGTGTTTATGGGTCTAACTTCTCTAAGATATATTCCTAGTAGTGGGACTGCTGGATCATATGGTATTTCTATTTCTGGCTTTTTAAGGAGGCACTATATCATTTTCCATAGTGGTTGTACCATTTTACATTCCCACCAGCAGTGCAATTTCCCTGCAACCTCTCCAACATTTGTTATTTTCTGGTTTTTTGGTTAGTGCCAGTAATGTTGGGGTGAGACGGTATCTCATTGTACTTTTGATTTACATTTCTATGATGACTAATGATCGAGAGCATTTCCTCATGTGTATGTTAGCTGCGTGAATGTCTTCTTTGGTGAAGCGTCTGTTCATATTCTTTGCCAACTTTTTAATTGGATCATTTGTCTTTTTGTTGCTGAGGTGTTGAAGTATTCTACAGATTTTAAAGATTAGACCCTTGTCAGATATGTTGTAGCCAAAAATTTTTTCCCAGTCTATAGGTTTTCTTTTTACTCTTTTGGTAAAGTTTTTGATGAGCATAAGTGTTTAATTTTTAGGAGCTTTCAGTTATCTAGTTTATCTTCTGGTGTTTGTGTATTGTTAGTTCCGGTTTGTATTCTCTTTATGCCATGTATTAGGGCTCCTAGCATTGTCCGTATTTTTTCTTCCATGATCTTTATAATTTTAGGTTTTACATTTAGGTCTCTGATTCATTCTCAAGTTTTTCTGTATAGTGTGAGGTATGGGTCCTGTTTCATTTTTTTTACAGACGGACATCCAGTTTTGTCAGCACCATTTGTTAAAAAGACTGTCTTTTCTCCATTTAATGGACTGCGGTGCTTTGTCAAAGATCAGATGACCACAGGTGGATGAATTTACATCTGGGTTCTCAATTCTGTGCCATTGGTCTATGTGTCTGTCGTTGTACCAGTGCCAGGCTGTTTTGACTACTATGGCTGTATAGTAGGTTCTAAGATCAGGTAGTGTGAGGCCTCCTACTTTGTTCTTTTTCTTCAATAATGTTTTGCTTATCTGGGTGTTTTCTTTATGTTGAGGTGTAATCCATACTGAAGGTTCCCTTTTTTTTATTGTTGTAGTTAAGTGAAGTTTACATTTCAGGTTAGTCTCGCATGCAAAATTTTATACATACATTGTTATGTGATCCTAATTCTCACCACATTCTGTGACAGCACACTCCTCCTTTCTACCCGATTCCCCCTGACCATTCAACCAGCTCCTAACCCTCTTGCCTTCCAATCTCACCTCTGGACAGAAGCTGCCCCTCTGGTCTCTTGTATCTACTTGAACAAGAGGCACACTCTTCACGAGTATCACTTATGTCCCATAGTCCAGTCCAATCCCTGTCTGAAGAGTTGGCCTCAGAAATTGTTTTAGTTCTAGGCTGATAGAGAGTCCGGGGGCCATGCTTTCTGGGGTACCTCCAGTCTCACTCAGACCGTTAAGTCTGGTCTTTTACTGGAATTTGAGTTCTGCACCCCATCTTTCTGCTGCTCTCAGGGACTCTCTGTTGTGTTCCCTGTAAGGACGGTCATTGGTGGTAGTCAGGCACCATCTAGTTCTTCTGGTCTCAGGCTGATGAAGTCTCTGGTTTAAGTGGCCCTTTCTGTCTCTTGGGCTAATACTTTCCTTGTGTCTTTGGTGTTCTTTGTTCTCCTTTAGTCCAGGTGGTTGGGACCAACTGACACATCTTAGATGGCCGCTTGCAAGCTTTTAAGACTCCAGACGCCACTCACCAAAGTAGGATGCAGAACATTTTCTTAATAAGCTTTGTTATGCCAACTGACCTAGATGTCCCCTGAAAGCATGGTCTGCAGACCCCTAACCCTGCTACTCTGTCTCTCAAAGTGTTTGACTGTATTCAGGAAACTTCTTAGCTTTGGTTTAGTCCAGTTGTGCTGACTTCCCCTGTAGTGTGTGCTGTCCTTCGCTTTGCCTAAGATGATTCTTATCTGCTATCTAGTAGGTGAATAATCCTCCCCCTCCCTCCCCACCCCCATAACCATCAAAGAATGTTTTCTTCTGTGTTTAAACCTTTTCTTGAGTTCTTATAATAGTGGTCTTATACAGTATTTGTCTGAAGGTTGTAGTCTTTGATCATCATCACTAAGTGCTTCAAGTCCTCTTCGCTGTCAGCAAGCAAGGTTGTGTCATCTGCATATTGCAGGTTGTTAATAAATCTTCCACCAATCCTAATGCCACGTTCTTCTTCATATAGTCCAACTTCTCGGATTATTTGTTCAGCAGACAGATCGAACAAGTATGGTGAGAGGATACAATCCTGATGCACACCTTTCCTGATTTTAAACCATGCAGTAACCCCTTGTTCTGTTCAAACGACTGCCTCTTGGTCTATGTACAGGTTTTGCATGAGCACAATTAAGTGTTCTGGAATTACCATTCTTCACAATGTTATCCATAATTTGTTATGATCCACACAGTCAAATGCCTTTGCATGATGGAATATTATTCAGCCATAAAATGGAATGAAGTACTGATACATGCTACGATGTAGATGAACCTTGAGAACATTATGCTCAGTTAGAGAAGCCAGACACAAAAGGACAAATATGGTGAGATTCCGCTCATATGAAATATCTAGAATAGGCAAATTCATAGAGACAGAAAGTAGATTAGAGGTTACCAAGGGCTGGGACTAGAAGGAAATAGGAAGTTAGTTCTTAATGGGTACAGAGTTTCTATTTGGGGTAATGAAAAAGTTTTGGAAATAGTGATAATGGTTACACAACACTGTGAATATAATTAATGCCACTGAAATGTACACTTAAAAAGGGTTAAAATGACAAATCTTACGTTAGATGTATTTGACTAAAATACGGTTTTTAAAAATGGCAATTATCAAGACTGTAAACCGGTATGGAAAAATATTTATAACCTAACGTTGAATGAATAAAACAGAATACAAAGTTGTCTATATATAACTGTAATTATGCTGTATTATACGAAATATATATATACACAAATACATAGGTTATATAAAATATACATAAATACAGACAGCATGATATTCAAAATACTTAATGACCTGACTGGCGTAAGTACTGGCCAATCAGAATAGACACCAGCCATTGATGAACAGGGTCTGGGAGACCTCTGCTGTGCCAAATGATAATCTTCTTAGTAGTTAGATGTGGTGATATCCAAAGGGTCCTGGGGAGTGGCAAACATTACCAAGGAAGCCAGAGGGAGGCACTCTGAGAATGTGGGGCAGCATCTACCTACCAACAAGTTAGGGAAGAGTCTGACATTTTGATGCTTGGTGCAGCTGTACCCGCTGTGCACTCTGAACGAGCAGCAGCCCAGAATATAGACAGACATTACGGACCCACCCAAAAATGACATAATTGTATTTGTCAGAGTGGTATGATTTGGGAAAACTTATTTTTTTTATCTTAAAATTTTCTTTAATTTTATATAACTTTTACACACTTAAAAAACACACAAGTGCATAAACTACTGGAAGTTAAATAACCTTAGTAGAAAGAAAAAATTCAAAAGGGATCAATAAAGGCAGATGAAAGAATATTAAATGAACAACAAATTGGTGCAGAAACAAAAAGTTTGAATGTGTCACTGAAATCAAAACAAACTCAAACACATCAACCTTCTGGCTACACAATGAAAGAAACTTAAAACCAACTGTGGCCTCACCATTTCCGACATGTCATCCAGTGTCCGCCCTTTCATCTCATCCACTTCACTCTTCAGTGCAGACACTCTTTCTAGCTCTTCTTGGGTGTAACTATACCCAGATACACCCTTTTTCTCCTCAATAGTTTGCTATACGTAAAGAACACAAAGGTCACAAAATACCTGTCAAAACCTTAATGATTCCCGTAAGAAGCATACAGATTTAATAATAAAGTTTTAAATGAAATAACTTAGTTAAGAACCCTAAAGGATAATCTTTATTAGATTCAATAATAACTACATGTTTTCATAGGTTATAAATATACACTAAATTTTATTATGGTATCTTCAGGTATATAGGAGGCATCTGTAATTTCAGACTTTAGAATAATGCTATATACTTATCACAGAACTTAAAACACAGTATGCATACAATAAATACTTGGTGAATGAATGACTTCTCAAGTCATCAGCTGTACTTGCATTTATTCACTCAATAAACATTTATTATATACCTAAATGTGAAAAGCACAGTTCTAGGCACCAGGTATACAGCAGTGAACAAAACAGAAAAAAGAAAGAAAGTGCTCTTCCCTCATAGAGCTTACTTCCAGTGGGGATGAACGAGCAATAAAATACAATATATTTTATTTATTTACTTATGTTTGTTTACTTACGTTTATATTAGAGTGTGAGGTGAGAACGGAGCTGGAATCTTAAATAACAGGGTGGTTAGATAAAGTCTTCCTGAAAAGATGACATCTGAGCAAAGACCCAAAGGAAGTAAGGGAGTGAGCCATACAGATGCCAGGGATCAGCAAGTGCTAAAGCCCTAAGGCGGGAGGATACCTGGCCAGTTCAAGAAACAGCCAGGAGGCCAGTGTGGCTGAAGGAGGAGCGAGCACGAGGCGGGGGTGAGCAGAGGATCATACAAGTCTCAGCTGTTTGCCGGGACAATCTCAGTTTATGTCTGTTACCATGTTCACTCACAAAAGTGTCCTACTTTAGATGATAAAGTATATCATTGCCCTATTTTTACACCAATGAAAGCACTGTGACATTGCAAATGAGGTGAGAAGGCACTGGAGGGCTCAATGCGAAGGAATTTTTAAAAAATCACTTTAACATCTATGCTGCGATCAGACTATACAGGGACAGAGGTGGGAGAAGGGAAGTCAGCCGGGAGACTATTCCAATAATTCCAGCTAGAGATGATGGTAGCTGGAATCATGGTAGCAGTGGTGGAGGTCATGAGACGTGGTTCTGTATATATTTTGAAGGTAGATTCAACAAGATATTCTGACAGATAATATGTAGGGTACGGGAGAAAGTGAGGGGTGAAGAATGACTCCAAGGTTTCTGGAGGATGAAGCTGCCATTTGTTAAGCTGCGGAAGACTGGGGAAACAGGTTCGAGGGGTAGTGAAGATCAGAAGTTTAGTTTTGGACTCATTAAAAATTTGAGATGCCTACTAGACATCCAAGTGGAGGTGTCAAGATGTTACATGTACAGGACGATACTCAAGGAGAAATCAAGGCTGGAAATATTTGTGAGTTGTTAGCAGATAGACAGTCTTTAAATCCATTAGACAGGATAAGAGCACCAGGGAAGAGAGCCAAGGGCCAACCCTGGGGAATTCCAATATTTAGACCTTGAAGAAATGAGAAGAAATCAGCAATGGTGTATGAAGGGGAGAATTAATATGGAAAGAGAAAAACCAGAAGTGTGTAGTGCCCTAGGAGACACATGAAGAAAAATTTTACAGGAGGGAAGAACAATCAACTGCCACGGGAAGGTGACTAGAAACTCTCCAATGTTCGCAAATTAAGCAATAAACCACAGGTCAAGGAAATCACAATAGAAATTAGACAGTATTTTGATGTGAACAATAACGTAGTTACAACATATCAACTTTAAAATTTAGTGCCTGTCATATGTGAGTAAATGCACGCGCATGTACAGGTGTATCTGCAGGCAAATGCATACATGTTTGTGTGTGCTGCATATATATCCACACATATAACAAACCACACAGGGGACAAGGTTACGGAGGCTTCCTAGACATATCCAAACAACTTGTGGGATTGGATTACTGCATTAAAAGGCTTGGGACCATACTCTCATTGGATAGCTTAGTCAATTGGCATAACATACTCCACAAAAATAATATTCTGCATCCTACTTTGGTGAGTAGGGTCACCATCTTAACTGGGAGTGGCCCTCTAACATAAAACTATTGGTCTCTACTCATATGTAGCATAACAGAATGAAGGAAATCAAAGGCTCAGTGAAGAAACTAGCCCACGGGACTAACAGCCCTCACGAACCACAGCCTCTTCCAACCTGAGACCAGAAGAACTAGATGGTGCCCAGCTACCACTGCCAACTGTTCTGACCAGGAACAAAATAGAAGGTCCCAGATAGAATCAGAGAAAAATGCAGAACAAAACTCAAATTCCCAAAATAGGCCAGAGCTACTGGACTGATAGAGACTAGAGGGACCCCTGAGACTATTGCCCTAAGATACCCTTTGAACTTGGAATTGAAGCTATTTCTGCAGGTCACCTTTCAGCCAAATAGACTGGCTTATAAAATAAACAATATCACCTGTGAGTAATGTGCTCCCTTAAACGATTAACTACGTGAGACCAGTCAACTTTTACCCAAAAGCAAAGATGAGAAGGCAAGGAGGGGAAGTGAAGCTAGCTCAGTGAAAACAGAACAAACAGAATGGAAATAATGAGAATGCTAACACTTTGTAAAAACTGTAAACAATGGTACGGAACAATCTGTAGAAAAATTATTAAATGGGAAACTAATCTGCTATGTAAACTTTCCCCTAAAACACAATAAAATATTATTTAAAAAAAACCTAGCCCGTTAGCATCCATGTTTGATTCACAGTAAACTTTCAATCTTAAGTATATTAACAATATTCAACAGCATGAGGCAGAAAAGGTCGTATCACCAGCAATATTTGAACTACAAATGGTTGAAATTTCATTTACCGCAACACGATTATTGCTGGCTGGTAAACCAGCATCCTGATGAAACAGTTTCCCCATGGATGAAAGGAAAAAAAAAAAAGCCAAACCAAGAAAACTCAGAGGTAACTGGCCTTTACAACGAGACAGGTTTGTGGTTACAGGGACTGATCTGGGTTTAACTTTTCTGACATCCAAGGCACAAACAGGCCCTGGTGGCACAGTGGTGAAGCGTTTGGCTGCTAATCAAAAGGCTGGCAGTTCGAATCCACCAGCCACTCCCTGGAAACCCTATGGGGCAGTTCTATTCTGTCCTATAGGGTTGCTATGAGTCAGAATTGACTCAATAGCAATGGGTTTGGTTTTTTTCGGTTTATGGCACAAATAACAAAAGAAACAAGCCTGCAAGCAACTTCTACATAGCCCCTTCCCTGGATATTTCTTTCCAAAGCTCCTTGGAAGTGGCTGCTTAGAAATTTTTACTGAGCAGGCCATGATAATAAGTATTTTACAGTTGCTCTATCGGTATTATAATTTTACTTATATTAACTAGCTAACCAAAAAACCCCATGTGGAATTCAATTTCTATTAACAGCCCCAAAATTAGCACATGTAAAAAAAAGTTAGTGCTTAATGCTACATTCAAAATAAATGAATCAACTTATATGACGTCTCTGTAATTAATCAGAGAAAATTAATAATTTTATGGTTTTTCCAATAAAAACAATGACCTCAGTATAAAAATGTAACCCATAAACCTTGTGGCATCTGTATTTTGAGCAGTCTGAGATAATACTGTATTACCAGCTGATGCTGAATATCTTCATGACGTTGCTTAAGAAGTTCTTCTGTCCTCTGTAAGAGACCGAATTCAGCTTTAAATTCAGCTATTATCTGATGCTTCTTTTTGAAAACTGTACTCTTGCTTCGAAGTTTACTGACATATCGTTTGAACTGTAAAAAAGCATAATACATAATCTAATAAGTAGAAAAGTAAATACCATATTCACTTCAAAGGACTGGCAAACTTTTCCTTTCTACCATCCAACATGCCACAGAGGGTCTACTTTAGTGTGTCACAAGCGCATAATAATGACAGCTTAGTTTTATCAGGACACTGGAAAAGATAAACTGCTAAATTAAAATACTTTGTGTATGTTTTATTTTTTTGACCCATCTAAATATTCTAAATCCATATATAAAAGCTAATTCATTTGGGGCTTTACAAGTAAGAATTTGAAAAACAAACTCAACTCTATAAAAAAGAAAGAGATGATAACAATTATGGCTGTGGTCTTACCATGCTATAATTTATGTACTATACTACACTATTTTGGTAGCAAGGATGGCGCAGGACCGGGCAGTGTTTTGTTCTGTTGTATACAGGATCGCTCTGAGTCAGAATCGACTCGACAGCACATAAAAAACAACAACAACATACTGGCTCTACCGGCATTAATACCACTAACTAGAATAGTTAACACCTGAAGTCGCTATTGATCATTTAAGAAATGTACTGTTACCATATATCCTAACAAGCATCTGAGACATTAAGATAAAACCCATCCCAAATACTAAAGCACTAAGAATGTTCCAAATCAGTGGAAACTCACAGTTGCTTAATTCATCCATTTACCTATTCATGATGTAAAAGTTACAACAACGCCATTCTAATGGAAAGACCCATTACTAAGTAATAGCAAATAGAGTTTAGAAAAGCAAATCAAATGAAGTGAACATAACACTTAAGGGAATTCATTTGATAAGTACTACTTATTATCTAAGGACCCTGGTAGCACAATGGTTAAGCACTTGGCTTTTAACTGAATGGTTGGTGGTTCGAACCCACCGGCGGCTCCAAGGGAGAAAAGACCTGTCAATCTGCTCCCATAAAGATTACAGCCTCAGAAGCCCTATGGGGCAGTTCTACTCTGTCCTATAGGGTTGCTATGAGTTGGAATTGACTCGACAGCATACAACAAGAACTTATGATCTATTATGTCCTAGACCCTGAGGATACAATTCTAAACAAGACACTCCAGGTTCTGCTCTCATCAAGCTAAGGAACAGCGGAGAAAACAAAAACTGAACTGAACTGGCATTTACAACCATGTGACTATTACAAAAAAGGGTAGATATCTTGAGAATAAATAACGGCAGTCTTAAACTAGATCGGGAAGGAGGTAGAAAGGTGAGGAGTAGGATTTAGGGGAGGTGGGTTAAGATAAGCTTCTCATAATATATTTAAGCCAAGACTGAAAGAATAAGGGTGTGCTGGGGTGTGCTGTAGGAAGAAGGAAAGAGGCAGAGAAGAACATTCCATGTAGAAGGGACAGCCTTGGCTCACTAAAAGTAAGGCTCAATGTGAGAAGCAGATGCCAGAAGGAAATGTGACAAATTTCTGAAACAGAACACAATCCTGTTTTTTTCTATCACGTCTTCTTATGTACCACTATTAATTAATTAATTAATTTTCAGATGCTTTTTACTATGTAAAATTTTCTTTTCTGCTCTGCTAACTATCCTTCTATTAACTACATTATAAAGAAAAGTTTCCATAGTAAGAACCTCACCTACTGTATTTAAACACATCGGTTCAAAACAAAAGCAAGCTTCCATATTACATAATATGAGATAATTCTTGGAGAATCTTAGGCTTTTTAATGCCCAATGCTTTTTAAAGCTAACTTTTTGGATTATAAATTTTATAAATAATAAAAATAACGAGCACATTACTAAAATTTTGTAAAAAAAGGGAAAATTCATTCAAAGCCACTACCCAACTCAAGGTCTAGTATCATGTTAATGTTTTTCCTTCCAATTTTAAAGCTAAATTAAGGTCAGAAGTTCTAAATTATAAGGCAGCAAAGTATTCTGAGTACAGCATTTCTAAAATTTGGGGTTCTTTCTTTTTTTTGGTAAAGACTTGAAAGATTCTTAAATACACAAAAAATTTCTTAAGAAGAACAAGATTGAAAATTCTTCACATAAAAATAATTTTCCACTTTCTAGTTTAGACATCTTTTTAAACTTGACTTAAATTTTGAAAGACACGAAGAACACACTGTGTTTCAGAGGAAGGAAGTGCAAAATATTTTTCAATCCATGATTAAGTTAGTTTTAATATTAAGTAATCCAGCCCACACACAGCAAATTATCAGTGGCTGGATTACAGGAACTGCTTTAAAAATTTAAGTCATACCAATGTAACTAGAGTCTAATAACTTGCAAATTTTTCCTTTTTAAAGAATAAATGTGTAAGCCTGACATAACCACAGACTCAAAATCCCTAAAGTAACTATATGTTCTATTAAAAGTGTCCTAGGCAAAATGCCCCCAAATGAAATCAACCCTGTTCATCTGCTATCCTCTGTAATATCTAGGTCAATTTTTCTCTTCTCTATCTTGCTGTGCTCCAGAAGTATTTTTAAAAGTTAAAAGCTATAAATGCTTTTGGTGAAGGAACAAACCCACAAATTATTCACTGTGCTCTATGCTGACCGGGTACTATTTGACATTCATTGTTCATACTACCTAAGGAAGAGTAGTCAGGTCAGATTAGTCACCAAAACCAAAAAACCAAACTTGTCGTCCAGTCAATTCCAACTCCTAGCGACCCTATAGGATAGAGTAGAACTTCCCTATAGGATTTCCAAGGAGCAGCTGGTGGATTCGAACTGCTGACCTTTTGGTCAGCAGCCATAGTTCTTAACCACTGCACCACCAGGCTCCCACATTAATCACAGTTCCAAACAGTTAAGCAACAGGTGGGCATCAATGCACTCTTAAGGACTCTGCTGTACCCTGGAATTAATTAGAAGAAAGAAAATACATCACCATTTTTCTTCCATTGAAAATTGCTTCTAATTATCATCTGGATTTTAGGTTATTTCTGAATTTTCAATATTGTCAAAACACCATGATGCACACATTAAAATTAAATCTTTGAACACATTCTTAATAATTTCTATAGGCCATATTCCCAGAAACGGTCAAAGGGAACAAGGCGTCCGATACATGCTGCCACGCTGCTCTTCAGAAAGCTTATGTCAATTTATACATCTAACAATGCGCACTCAGATTTTTTATAGTTGTCAGTTTGATCAGCAGAAGTTGGTACCTTATTTTTATTTCTTTAATTATTAGGGATCTTCACTTCTTCCTTACATTCACTGAGCATCTGTGGGACTTCTCTTTTAATGAGTTACCTATCTTGGCCTATTTTTCTTTCGGGGTGTCGGTCTTTTTCCAACGGATCTATAACAATAATTCTGAAATTTCTGGTCTCAGGAACCCTTTATACTCCTAAAATTATTGAAGGTCTCAAAAAGATTTTGTTTATATGGATTATATGTATCGACATTTACTGTATTAGAAATCAAAACTGAGAAACACTTAAAACCCATGAAACCACAAGTACACATTTCATTAGCTGCCAGAGCAATGGCATCATCACTCATGGAGCCTCTGGTAACCTTCACTGCACACTCATGGGAGAGCGAGAGTGAAGACTGCCCTCCCCTCCCATTCCCTTCTTGGTGTGGAGGAGTCAGGATGGTGGCTGGAGAGGTGTGGAAGTAAGGCAGCACTGGGAGCTGCAGAGACATGGGCCAGAGGTCAAGCGTACAGGGAGGTGAGTGGGGTTGGACAGTTATACAGAGGTGTGGGATGGTAGGCCGGTGACACAGGGTAGTGGAGGAAGGTTACGAATCAAAGGAAAAACTGTAATTAATAGTTAAGTATGGCCATATACCACATTGAGAGAAACTATATAGCTCTATCAGAAAGTTTGAAGCTGAGTGAGTGATAGGTTTATTGAAAACTCAGCAAATAAACAAAAAAATGAGGCCGGTATTAATTTAAGAAAAAAAAAGTTGTACAAGATAGGAAACATAATCATAATATAATATGTGGTTTAGCTGTAAACAATGTTTATATAATCATAATGAATGTATTAAATAATGATTTAACCAAAAATTATAATTACATTGGGAGGCTATAGAGAATGGGAATGGAAGTTTGGGTATGGTGGGTGGCAGGGAATGAGAAGTGTAAGAGCTAAATCCTCACTTCCCACGATGGTATGTCCGTAACTGAAAAATCAAGAAATTTCAGCATAAACATGTTATTTAGAAATAAAGAAATAAATGCCAGAAAAAACAACTATAGTTACTAGTGGTTGCTTCTGGGAAGCATACATTGGGAATGTGGAAGGAGATAATAATTTTCATTATGAGCTTCGTAATATTGTCTTACTTTTTAAACTATATACATGTATTATTCTTAATAAAATTATAAGTAAACTAAAAGAACATACCCAAAAAAGCTCACTACCAACAAAAACCTAACAGTTGACAGATTTTATTTTAAATAGACTTCATGTATTTGAAATTAAATTTATGTATAAATGTGTGTTATAACTTACATGAGAATATATTCACAAGTAATTTCATTTAGAAATTAATTACTAAATGCCACAGAGGCAGTACAACACGGTCAGAGAAGTAATTCAGAGAGCAGTTAAGAATCAGAAAAATCTAATTTCAAATCTTGACTCCAGCATTTAAGGTAACCTTGGGCAAGTTACTTTTCTCTTTATGTATCAGTTTCTTTAACTTAACAAAAGGGGGGAGGGAAGGGATAACAATGTATATATCAGAGATCTTTTCAGTATTACATGTGAAAATTTATATAAGGCAATTAGCACAGTACCTAGCACAGCATTAAATAAATAGTAGCTATCATTGTTACCATTAATCCTGACCTAATTAAAACATAAAATAAAACTCTGACTTAAATGTCTACAATTACCAACAACCATAAAACAACTGCCAATTTAGTAGCCAATTCTTGACTACACTATATATTTTTGTAAAGCACTTTAATAATCTTTGAGGATCAAAACACACAGTGTTCAATATTATTAAATGAATGTTAATTGTCTAAAATAAAAC